ATTTGCAAAATAATTCAATAATTATAGCAGAGTAATGCACCAAAAAGGGTGTTACATTTCTTCAAACAAATTTCATAGTAAAACACACTCAGCTCCATAACACGGGCTTTTAAAAATCAATTACGTTAAGTATTCCATGATTAACAACCATATTTTTTCAACTTACTCGTAGCGGAAATTCATAATTCAAAACATCTGTATTAAGATACTTCTAAATAACTTCATCATATCAAAACAACTCAATTACCAGAAGTGTAGTTCAAATATCAAATTAACCAAGATAACATGATTATTTAAAACAAACAATCTCATCCCCGATATTACATATCAGAGCAAGACCCCTTTATCCTATAGGAAATAAAGAACACACTCTGCATCTATCCAGTAAGCCTCAGCGAACTATTATTGATTACCTGCAAGTTACCCACGTATAGAGGTAAAATTTTCAAGAAGCAAGGGTGAGTAAATCATAATCATTATAAAAGAAATAATGAGTAAATATAGTAGTTATGATACAACACCAAAGAAACACACCATCGAAACCTCATGTCATACTCACACCTTCAAGCATCATAATACACATCAGACACATGAAAATACCATCAATTAACAATTATCACAAACATGCATCCATAAAACACCAGTCAATCAAATCATCATGCAATTTCACATATAATGCAATGCAACTTCTTTAGATTCATGCATGTGGTACCAAAAATTCACTGATGACACCGTCATCATTTTCTCCAAAGATCCCCACCTATAGGATCGATTCCTGCTTGGAACCAGATCATATCACAAATTTCACTTAACCCATACTATGGGATTGAGGCCATCACTATACTATTCGTCCTATAAAACTCACTAGAACAATGTCCTGCAACCATCACTGGACTATGCCCTAACTTATTCCATGAATGCATGATGTAAAACATCTTTAATAACCAAATGACCACTTCTAGTCAAAACGCATCATCATTCATATAATCATCATAAATATCAACACATACTTCATAACATGAAACAACATCATCATATCATCAAAAATTCATTGTATACACATACACCATACTAAAACAATCATTGAATCATATTATTCATCAAAGCATAGGTACTGAAAAAATAAATGATATGACTCTTTCTATTTCACCAAGGTATCGTTCATCGTGTTAGCTTCCTAACGCTTCAAATGATGCGTCAATTAGAGTCATGAAACTCAAGTTATGACACTTTTCAAATACTACTGATGTTTATTGTCTGGTGCTCGCCCAACGATGAGGGAGCGACAACACCTTTTTTTCCTTTCTGGTCTCCACCGCCCGACGCTGCATCTCGCATAATACTCTCCTCTCACCTCTGCATCGCCTGACGATGCTCCAGTAACAGACCACCCTCCATACAAAAATTCAGGGGTTATGTTTTTCACCTCATCCCATCGCTTCATACTCAGCTGGCACTGCTGGAGTGAAGCTCCATCGCAACGACACACATCTATCGTCCGGTGCTGCAGCGCAAACATGACTTTCCTATTGCGATTTCTGCACGGCACAGTCCCAATTTCTACAGGATTTCTCCATAGTACAAGTCTCAATTCATCATAGATTCACTTAGTTTCATCACGTAACAACAACACAGATTATCATACATCATATACATCAATTCTTTGCAAGAAAACATCATAATTTTACCAATTTCATCAAAGCACTGTATTAACATCATCATCCCAAAACCCCAACACAACCTACAATTATCTAAACCTTAGATCAATTATAATAGCAATGATAAACCCTCTTACCTTTGATTTCTACTAGCAATTGATTTCTCTTTGCGTTCTATCAAATCTCTCTGAGCTCTTTCGTGCCCTAACTCTCTTCACATTGTTATTCTTTTTTCACAATTGCGTAGAATGAACACTGACACTCTTTTTCCCTAGTTTAAACTTTGAACCTTTTCTATGGTCTTCCCATATTTCCTTCACTTATCCATTTACAATTTATCACTTTGTCCCTAACATCTCTACATCATATTTTATCTCTATTTAACTAATTAAAATAATTCTAATTAATCAATTATCTAAATTATTCTAAAATACTATATACCTTATTAATTCCTACCACCCAATCATACACCACATAAAACATCATATCGAGCATCTTGATCATCCATACATCACATAAACATCACACTTAAGTCACAAATACTCAACATAAATTAATCGAATACTTAAATAAGTAATCTAATTATTTTGAGGTGTTACGCATAACGTTATCCCTAATGATTTCTATCATCTGTAGGCACTGAGAGTCACCCGTACCATGTGGAGGTGGTGGAGGTGGAGACATGTCATCAGAAGGTACCAAAGCATCATTTACCCTAGCATCAACATGAGAAGATTCATCATGTGAAGATCCAACGTGAGAAAGTCTAGTATCATCTCCATACTGCCTAAGTGGGATGATGCAACAGTGTGATACAAGGAGAAACCACTTCAAATACCCATCCACAAACTTTGTAGGGAACTGAACCTCCACTACACAATCTCAAATGGCACGTGTAGAAAAGATAATGTTACCACGAAACCAACTATCAATGCCCTCAGCTGGAGTAGCAGGGACTGGTTGTGGAATGTCCTGGACATATATAAACTTCTGACACATCTCGGGTAAGTGTCTAGCCACTAACCCTTCCGATCGCAGATTACTTGAAAAAAATGTAGCATCATAAAACTCGTCATCCACTCTATGGCTAGTGTAGAGTGTCCAAATAACATCGTCTACAGTCAGAACATCAATCTTCTTTCTGTACTCCACAACACCTCCCAGTCATGCATGGTTGTCCCTCTATCTCTTGGACCACGGGGACCCGACAATGATAAAAATAATTTGCATGTCACAAATGAACGTGAAATGCTCGTATATCCAGTAGTGCACAATAACAAAGACTCATATTATAAAAAATAATGTCATAAATAGAACTAACATAATAAGAAACAATAATTTAGTTATACCGAAAATAGAATCATAACCGATAAACTTCATGATCTCAAAAATAGTCGCCTCTCCAAGGGCATCATATAGAAATGTCAATGCAACACACCCCATCGCCCAATTGCAATACTCAAGGTTGTTAAACAACCACATGTACTTTTCATTGATATATACATGAGACTTATTCGTTAAGATAACACATCCTACAAAATGTAGCACATATACCCTAATGGATTCCTCATACATACCTTGATGCACTAGCTCGTCATACCTATCCCATAGCCAAGATAATTGAAAGTGAGCACCCGTCATAAACATAAACTCCTCTATCGCATGCGCTTCTGTAACCCGCAAGTATTGTACAATTGTCATACGTGTTGTCTCCTAACTAATAATATGAGAGGTGAAGAAACTACATGCCAACATAATATGGAAAACCGATGAGACGTAATCCAATGTAATCGTCATCTCACTAATTGGAAGATGGAATGAAGATGTATCCTCTACCATCGCTCAACAAAGGCAATGAATAACAAACGATCGAACATGATAAGAAAATAGTTCACCAGTGGAAGGAGATTGTACTCCTCATCTATCACTTTCACATCCAGTGGCAGCGAGGCATCAGAGAGCTTCTTCACCTTCAATCCATGGATGGGCACCTTAAACAGAATACAGTCCTATAACAATCAAAAGAAAAAGTATAAGTTAATTTCAAAATATCATTAATAAATAAAGTCACATTACCGTCATATCATGTACATACCTCTCCCTGTCATAATCTGAAAGCCACATGATCAGCATATCCCGTGAGAACATAAGTGTCATTGGGTCCACCAAAAAACCCCTCATCGGTGTGTACAAACAGGCTTGGCGAAGCAGGAGTAATGACATATGTCTCAAAAGGTGGAGTAACCTCAATAGCATCAGTAGGTGGTATCTCAGCAACCGTATGTAGAATATGTGCCTTAATAACTATCTCTGAAGTAACCTATGTAGTGGTTGTTGCATGTGCCTCAGAAGGATGAGACACCTACGTCACATGGGGCACATCTACCTTTACCACCATTTGCATGACATCTTGAACCGGTACAGACAGTGTCTAAGTATCATCTGGCTCATCTGCATCTTCTCTTTTCAATCCATAAACGGATCTAGATCCTCTACGTTGGATAGTGCGGGGTCACGAAACTTAGCCTGGTCATCCAATCACCTCTTGAGTGAATCGATCAGTGCGACTCTCACTGCCCTAAGATGTGAGTCATCTACATCACCTTCCCCTCTCTCTAGTCGCCGCATCAGCTCTACCACGCAATCGACGAACAATCGTAACATATGTGTCTGATTTTCACTAAAAAACATTTTTTATAAACTACCAGATTTTTCAAAAAATTTACAACATATGAATTGTTCGAATTTTTCAAAATACGCGGTAACGAAACAAACCTCTTCCAGACTTTTTGAAAAATGCGGTAAAAAGCATAAATGTTTCCAAATATTTTAAAATATTTGGTTACGTTCAACCGGACATTTTGAAAACTACGGAGGAATCATAAGCAGACTTTATTTGCTCTTATGATTTGAATTTGAACTTGGTGTTGGGATAGAAGTTGCTTAAGAAATATCCATAGAAGTTTAAGAAATTTGGTGCAAGTTCATGTATAACAAGGATATGCTTTTCGTATAATACGAGTGTTCTTACCAAATTAACCTTACCAGACATGTTTTTCTGTAATCTGAAGAGTTTGAACTTGAACATAAACCATGACTTCTTTTTCATGTGTCAAATATGTGTGCACCAATTTAAAGGACTAATTGCACAATTTTCACATTAGATTTCTACTTACTCCAAAATTTTCACAATACTATTTTTCATGCATATAAATATACAGGACATAAAAACATAAATACATAGAATCACTCCATATATATTACATTACCAATGTGACACTAACTTTTGGAAGTAATAAAATGTGAAACATGGTCACAAATTAAGACTTAGGAGAATTTTATTTATTGATCATCATGGACTCTAAAGTTCAATCTTCTAAGCCAAACAGAATGAAGTATCATATGAAACACATCAAATCTCTTTGGTGGAGAATGTACCTCAAAATGTCTCCTAATCTGTCCAACTCTTCTCTGCATTCTTATATATTGTGTCGGAGTTATTCTCATCAGAATATCCTTTAACTTCGGAATATCTTCAACCGAAACCTCAACCGAGAAAGACTTCCAATTCAAAACATCACTAAACGGAGGAACGTAATGATCTGAAATAAGTACCGGAACACAACCTGTGTAAATTGCCTCGACTATTCTTGGACTAGCCACCTCGTAACCACTTGGACAGAGACAGAACTTGCTCTTCCTTAACATTTCATAGTAAGAAACACCCTTTGGAAGATACTTTTGAACCATGATGTCTTGATCCTTGTTGTTTTCCCAATGTTCGAGAAGTATCGATCTTATATAACCATGAAGTCCTCCTGCAAAGAAAGCTAAAACCGAACGCTTAGATGCTGACGGTCCACCTAGAAAACCATTTATCGAACCTGTTTGGAGATTGATTTCGGGTAATGAAACATCTTTTGCAGGGTTGAATTTTTCGGAGGTGTTGGCGTTGCATAGTACGCGAATGGAGTTCTCATGTAGGTATGGTACCGAGAATGAAGTCTCCGGCCCCTGAAATTAAATACAAGAAAAATACTTGACAAATTAGCATAACATTATGCTTATGTGAAAATGTTTGTTCTTGTTCTTATGTGAAAGTTGCAACACACAATATAATAATATACCAATAATAGACCAGATATATTGATTATTCAATGAATCTAAAAAGTAAATTTTTTTTTTATAAATATGATCAGAGGAAATAGTACTAGTGAGATACTCACCCAATCATGGCAAGCTAGCATGAAATGATCAGCTCCAAGACTTCGATTCCAATACGGATATTTTTCAGAAATGACATTGATATAATCCGTCACAGTTTCTCTTATAGGGCTAAAGTCACGAGAATCTCTTAAATAAACAAATCTGACTAACATTACCACGCTGAATGGAAGGAAAAAAACATGTGCTTTTTCAGGATCTCTCGTTCGAAATTGGTCGTTTATTTCAATAGCATGAATAAAGTTCCCTTCCATAGAGTATATGCTTTTGCAAGGTCCGTTGTGAAAAACTGGGATCTCCCCTTCTTCGTAGACGAATACTTTGAACAGTTTTTCCATTTCTAAGTAGCTCCTGTGAAATGCCTTAGCATTCCAATACATTGGACCTATTGGAACATAATCTGGATCTTGTGTTTGATTGCCATTGATGGCATCTTTAATAGCAGCTCGAGCTTGTAATAAACCAGCTTCTGTTCTATCTAAGATGCTGAGCTTTCTTGAATGAGGCACATAAGTTTCATTCAATGGGACAGTACTTTTGACCCAAGGCTTGGAAATGTTGACAACTTCTGTTTCGTTCTGTTCAATCCAAATGAGTCATTAACCTTAATGTTTAAATATCGAAGCTATCAAGCACCAAATCTAACATGAACACTGAGACACAACACGCTCTTAGAATGTCATATGGGAGTCATGTGTCGGACATCCATACAAATTTATTAAAGCAAAGAGAAAAACCTATTTTTTTAAAGAACTCATTCCAATATTTATCTGACAAGTGTCATATAAATGTCTGATACTGTGATCAGAGCCGTCTCAAACTTTTGAGAGACCCTGTGTAAAAAGTTGAAGTAAACTTCATTTTAGTAGTGAATTTTTTTAAAGGGCCCTATTTAACCGTGAAATATGTGTATGGAGACCCCTTCTGCCCTTGCTTAATTATGAAAGAGTGTGAGGCCTGTGCTATAGGCTGCATTGCATGCCATCAAATGCCATCAAAGACGGCCCTTACCGTGATACGTCTAACCCTAAAGGTGATTGTGCATGAAAGTATAGGATGGCTTGTTGGTAAAGACTTAGGACCTGAGTGTGCTCCTCTCAAACCTCAAGTTCGAATTTTGTGCAAACAATCTCTATGTTGGGCTAGTCTATACAGAGACTTGCCCTGTCTTTAACTAGACCCCGCTAGCGGAACTAGTCTATACAAAGACTTGCACAGTCTTTAAATAGAGCTCCGCTAGAGGAGGGTAGGATTGATCCTTTGGATTAATCGGGCTTAGTGGTGAAGACATGGGACCTGAATCCTCTCAAGTCTCGGTCTGAATCTTGTTAAGTGTAAACAATCTATGTTGGACTAGTCCATTCAGAGCAAAGCTTAAAATCGACTTGTGCTAAGTGGACAGTGGGATTGGTAACATAGCCGCATACCTTGTTTTTTTAAAAGAAAAACAGATACACATGTTTTTCCAAAAAGAGAAACATTTCAAATATGATAGGAAATATATTTAATAAATAGAACTTAAAAACCATAACATAAAAAAATCAGCAAAACTGAGAAACAGACTGAAAGGAAAAACAGAAGACTTACAGATTGTGGAAGTGTTTGTATACTATCAACAAGAAACGGTGTTGAAGAAGAAATATGAAAACCATTGTCACCACCCACCACTTCCACCACCGCTTCAGATCTCAAGTCCACAATCTTTTCTCTCTCTTCTGGACTCATCACAGAAACAATCACAACAACTGCAACAAGAATAAGAGGAAGCAAAGACAAGAACAGCTTCATTGAAGAAGAAGAGGTTCTCATTACACAACAATTCCATTAACCATTAACTAACCATTGTGATGAATGATGAAACAACCTCAAAACTAAGAATGTGGACAAAAAAATGCCCCTAGTATATTAGTTTTCAAGAAGCGAGAATCATGAATGAAATACAACTATTTTACATTAGATGACAGCACTAAAATTCATGCATGTTGCCATTGCCTTGTTTGGTCTTTGTCTTTTTCTTTTTCTAAGTTGGAGTGAAACAAACGGAACATAATAATCTCATAGGTTAGAAGTTTTCATAAACCATTTTTTCTATAAGAAAACTTGTGTTTTTGCTCAAAATAAAAGGAAAAGGTGGAACAGTTAATGGCATAGCAGCAAATGTATGCCAAGCGTCCTTAATATGCAAGGTGTCGCATTTGCATGCAACTTCTTGGATTTCCGTTTCTATCCTTTGTTTCCTTTTGTCAACATACTACACTAAATTCATCTTTTGAGTTTGTAGTCTTGATAAAATTATTTGCTCTATTTTTTATAATGCATGAGTATAAGAAGTTAATAAAACATTCATAAAAACCAAAAACTTATAATCATGTTAAACTAACCGTCTCTTTCACTATTACCATTAAACATGTTGGAAAAGAATCAATATTTTTATAATCCAAATTTGAATTTTTTTTATAACTAAAATGATAATATAAGTTACTAATTTAGCTATATAATACTATAAAATATATAGGATTCTATGATATTTGTTTGAGCTATTTGGCATCAACACTAGATAGTATTTTTTAAATTTGTGGATTTTTTTTTTTGAGCAATACATATATGTGAGAGATATATAATATAATCAATTGAGTATCATCCTAAGTATTTCAGATAAGACACAATGACAACTAATAGCAGCTGTTAGAAACTAAAATTCGTATGTGAAAGTATAAGGAAATTGACAGAAGAAATATTTGATGTTTTGAAAGAAACAACTTGGCTCATATATATAGCCTTACAAATGAGAAACTGAAACAAAAATAAACTATCCATGTTTTCACCCACTACTAGCACTAAACTACCTATGTTTTCACCCACTACTAGCACTTCCTAATAACATGGTAGACTAATTCAAAAGGAAATAACTACTCCTAAAACATGGAAATCATAAAACTGACTAACAAATCCTCCCTTAAACGGAATGCTTTATGCAATCAGTTTATATCACTCTCTGAACAAACTCCTAGAGATCTACGTAGTTTCAGGAAAACATCCATCTTGAGTGGTTTCGTCATGATATCTGCCAATTGTTCTTGTGTGCTACAGTGTATCAGCTCTACAGTTCCAGCCTTTGTCAAATCCCGAAGGAAATGGAAACGAACATCAATATTCTTACAACGACCATGCATTACTGGATTCTTCAAAAGCTTAATAGCAGAACTACTATCACAACGAATCACAGTGGCTTTGCTTTGATTTTTACACAGTTTTCCCAACACTCTTTTCAGCCAAATGGTTTGACATGCACATAAAGCTGCACCTATAAACTCTACTTCTGCGGTTGATAGACTCACAATTGGTTGTTTCCTCGATGACCAAGAAAAAACACCTGAGCTCAACAAGAAAATATAACCTGAAATACTCTTCATATCATCCAAGTCCCCTGCATAATCGTTGTCAGTGTAAGCGACAAGCTCGTTATTTTCGTCCTTCCGGTAGAAGATTCCAAACTCAGTTGTTCCTCTTAAGTATCTCAGCACCCTTTTGGCCACTTGTAAATGCAGTTTAGTAGGATTCTCTATATACCTGCTATTAGATTCACCACAAACAGCATATCGGGTCGAGTAGATGTCAGATACATAAGGCTTCCTATAATTTGTCTATAGTAGGTCTTATCAACCTTCACACCAGACTCATCTTTTGTGAGTTTAACACTTGGAACAATTGGATCATGCACTGAATTGCTTCTATCCAATCCAAACCTTTGCAGCATCTCTAATGCATACTTCTTTTGACATGAGAAAATTCCATTTGATTGTTGCATCATTTTAAGACCAAGAAAGTATCTCATTTTACCAAGATTTGTCATGTCAAATTCTCGCTTCATAGAGCGTTTAAATTTTGGAAACATCAGCTCGTCATTTCCTATAAAATGAGATCATTAACATACAAACTAACAATTAATATTTTACCTTCTTTTTCTATTTTCACAAACAAGGTATGCTCATAGTCACGCTTCTCAAAACCTTCCTTCATAAAATATGTTTCTATACGACTATACCAAGCACGTGGTGCTTGCTTAATCCCATAAAGAGCCCTTTTCAGTTTATAGAATTTTCTCTCATTACCTTTTTATACATAACCACAAGGCTGGTCCACATACATTGTTTCATTCAACTCTTCATGCAAAAATGCCGACTTTACATTCAGTTGATAGATTGTCCAGCCTTTTTGAGCTGCAAATGCTACCACCAAACGAATTGTCTCCATGCGAGCCATCGGTGTAAATACTTTTGTATAGTCTACCCCATACTCTTGTACATACCCCTTCACTACTAGCCTTACTTTATACTTGTCTACTTCTCCATTATCTTTGAATTTTTCTTGTAAACCCACTTCACTCCAACTTTCTTTGCTCCTTTAGGTAAACCCACCAATTCCCATGTCCCATTTCTTTCAATTGCCTCCGTCTCCACATCCATGGATTTCCTCCATTTTCACTTTTAATAGCATCATCAAAGTGAGTAGGATCACCATCACTAGCTACAAACATGGCCAAATTAACGTCAACATTTCCTTCTGAAAGACCTTCTCCAGTTTCATAGTCTTCCATCCAAAGTGGTGTCCTTCTACACCTTTGTTGATTGGGATTAGAAGTGTTCTCTTCTAATGTAGAATCAGAGGAGACATTTTCTTCTTCTTCTTTTGTATCTGTATTATGATCAGATTCATGCCCGACTTCATTTTCTTCTTCCACATTAACTTCCACATCCTTATCACCCCAATCTAAGTCCTATGAGATGGCTTCTTCATACTTCTTATCCCAATCCCAACCTTGATCTTCTTCAAAAACAACATCCCGACTCGTTATGATCTTTTGTGAAAATGGATCATAAAGCTTGTATGCTTTTGATACTTCACAGACCCCCAAAAAACACAACGCAAACTTTTATCATCTAGCTTAGTTCTTTTAGAATCAGGTACGTGAACATAAGAAATACATTCAAAAACTCTAAAATACTTAACTGAAGGCTTGACCCCGCTCCAAGCTTCTTCTGGTGTCTTATTACTCACTACTAACGCTGGACTCGGATTCAAGACACGCACAGACCAGTTTACCGCTTCAGGCCAGAAGGTTTTGGGAATTTTCTTCTCGGATAGCATGCTCCGAACCATGTTCATAAGGGTTCTATTCTTTCGTTCTGCAACCATGTTCTGTTGTGACGTATATGCAGATGTTAGTTGCCTTCGTATACCATTTTTACAGCAAAAATTGGTGAATTCACGTGATGTAAATTCTCCCCCACAGTCAGTGGGCAAGCCTCTAATAAACAAATTTGCTTCCTTTTCAACATGGATCTTAAAATATTTGAAAACAGAAAATGCTTCTGATTTTTCTGTTAAGAAATAAATCCATGTTTTTCTACTGAAATCATCAATAAAAATGATCGGATACCTCTTTTTTCTGTTAGAGATAGGTTTGATTGGTCCACAAATATCAGCATGTATTAGTTGCAGAATTTGTGTTGCCCTCCAAGCGCTCTTATTTGGGAATGAATCTCTTGGATGCTTCCCTACCAAACAGTCCTTGCACAGCCTATTTGGTGACTTCAATTTTGGTAAGCCATTTACCATACTCTTCTGTTGTAGCATATTTAAACCCTTAAAACTCAAGTGTCCATATATGCAGTGCCAAAGATGCATTAAATCTTCTGTAACAGTGTGAAAGCAAGTGGGTTTTGCAGGTTGCGGTATGGCATGCAACATGAACATTCAATTTGAAGATATTTTGGTTTCCATTATCAAACCACTTTCTGGGTGGAAGACTTTGCATTTTCCATGTTGAAACAGAATACTAATCCCCTTCTCTTGAAATTTCCCAATACTTAGCAAGTTATTCCATAATTCTGGCACAAGAAAGACTCCAGTAACAATATGTGTTACGGCATTTATGTTTAATCTTATGTTACATGTTCCTGCTACAGCCGTGGTAGAATTATTGCCCAACTTGACAGAATATTTGTAACTCTCGTTAAGATCTGAGAAGTATTCCTTTTTTCCGCACATGTGATTGCTACATCCAGAGTCAAGAAACCAAACATCTTCTTCATTGGCCTTGTTCGTATCTGTGTAAGCCATCAAAAACATTTCTTCTTGAGTCTCTACATAGTTGGCCTTCTTCCTTTAGTTCGAACATTCCCATCTAAAATGCCCGAGTTTATGACAATTAAAGCACTCCACTATGGATTTATCAATCTTTGTTTGCCTCTGCCTCGTCCTCGTCGTCCAAAACCTCCACAACCTCGACCCCTCTCTACATATTGAGCATATTGATTATCTTGATATCCATGAGTAATCTTAAAAGCATGTTCTTCTTCAACATGAGAACACATGCGTTGTTCATGAACAAGTAGGCTGCTTTACAATTCATCAATAGTCAAAGTGTTTGTATCCTTAGATTCCTCAATGGAACACACGACATAATTGAACTTGGGAATCATGGATCTCAAAAAATTTTCAACTACTGCAACATATCCCTTGTTTTCACCATTAGCTTTCATCTTGTTTGCTATGGTAAGTGTCCGAGCAAAATAATCATTCACAAATTCTCCTTCATTCATATGGAGAGTTTCAAACTCTTTTCTTAGAGCTTGCAACTGTGCGCGCTTGACTCATGTTGAACCTTCATACTTCTGCTTCAAGGAATACCATATGTTCTTTGATGTATCTTTGTTAAGAATCGTCTCTAGAATTGAACGATCTAATGCTTGAAATAAATAGTACTTTGCCTTTAAATCTTTTAATTTTTGATCATCAATGTTCTT